GGGTTGTCTCCTCAAGATTCTCCAACTTGATTAGGGCAGAAGCTTTGGTGAAGTCTGAAGGTGCCACCATCCGACATTCTGTCTTCTACTTCTTTAAAAAGAAAGAAAGAAAAAAGGCACATATTTTCTTGGGGAAAGCGAGCCCAGCCCGATGTTGTGAGCCGAAATAAAGTAGATCCAGATGGAAGAATCCTCAGTGCTGTTGAGTTGGCCTTTCTGTGCAAAAAGAAAGAATGTTCTCGTAATTTCCCCCCACCGTGCTTCAGCCTATCCCCCATAGAAGAACCTTTGAGGGGAAGACTTCAAATCATCACCCAAGGTTGTGTTTTTTTTTAATATTAAAAAAAATGTTATCAACTCAGAAAGCAACAAGAGAAGTCAATCTTGGCATTTTTCCCTATAAAAAGATGGGCCATGGAGTTCTGGCTTGGTTAACTACCAACTTTAAATGGAAAGTTTTTGATGTGTCTGTAGAGATTCTCCGTCATCCAGGCCATAGGTTGTCCTAAAGGGTTTTTTTTAAATTTCAAGTGGCAACTGGACTTTCTGGTTCTTTTTTTTATATATAACTATATAACCATCATGGTTCTTCTTCTCCTTCTCCTTCTCCTCCTCCTCCTCCTTCTTCTTCCTTCTCCTTCTTCTTCTTCTTCTTCTTCTTCTTCTTCTTCTTCTTCTTCTTCTTCTTCTTCTTCTTCTCTCCCTTCTCCTTCCCCTTCCCCTTCCCCTTCTTCTTCTTCTTCNGGATGAACTAATGGGCTCACCCAACGCGTCTCTCTCTCTCTCTCTCTCTCTCTCTCTCAATATCTCTCTCTCTCAATATCTCTCTCTCAATCTCTCAATCTCTCTCAATCTCTCTCTCTCCTAAATAAACCAAGTAAGCGGGCAATCCAGCTCCGATCCACGTTTTCTTTGCCCCGTGGTTTTCAAGGCAAGGGGAGGCCGGATTTCAAGGGGAAATTATTTTGTGGACGCTGCTGTTTTTATACTAATTATGTAAAAGAAATAGAGAGAGAGGGAGAGAGGAAGGAAGGAAGGAAGAGAAAAAGAAAGGAAGAGAAAGAAAGGAAGAGAAAGAAACAGAAAGAAAGAGGGAGAGAAAGAGAAAGGGAGAAAAAGGAAGGAAGGAAGGAAGAAAGAGAAAGGAATAAAGAAAGAAAGGAAGAGAAAGAAACAGAAAGAAAGAGAGAAAGAGAAAGGGAGAAAAATGAAGGAAGGAAGGAAGGAAGAGAAAGGAATAAAGAAAGAAAGGAAGAGAAAGAAACAGAAAGAAACAGAGAAAGAGAAAGGGAGAAAAATGAAGGAAGAAGGAAGAAGGAAGAGAAAGAAAGAAAGAAAGAAAGGGAAAGAGAAAGCTGTCGTATAATATAGTGAGAAATTTCTAACGCACGAAATAAATGCTGGAAATTGAATGAGGGCGGGCAGTGGAGGAAGAGCGGTGAATTAATTTCTAAAAACGTATTTATATATACCTATAAAAATCCTTTTAAGAATTCCTTTTAAAACCACCGGCCCGCTTTTTTGTTTAAAAAAAAAAACCACCTATTTCTCCCGTCGACTTTTTCGGATGATAAAACCTCTTTGCAAGAATGAAAACCGGGGCTACCCTTAACCTCTCCCCCCCTCCTTCGCCCCTCTCTCCTCCTTAAGGGGTTAGGGGGGAATTCCAGTTTCGCCCACCCTGGGGGTCTGCGTGCATTCTTTTCCCCGGTCGCCCGAGGAGGCTGGCTGGGCAGAAGAAGAGACGGGAGAGAAAGGCATAAAACGATTTACAGCTTCATTTACGTCGCTTCATCTACCCGTAGACTACCCGTAGGTCAAGCTGGCCTTCTCCGCCCACTCGCCCACCCTTCCTTCCGTCTCTCCCGCGTCCTGGCCAGGCCGCAAAAGCAGTTACGGGTCCCCGCGACCGGGGGATTCCAAGCCGCCCCTCCGTTTTATCCCCCTTCGTTTTCCAAACAACCCCAGGAAAATCCGATCCGGGAAAACCTCCCACTTTCCCAAAACGGCTCCCCTTTAGCTTCCCCTTTTCTCGCACAACAAAGACAAGGGATCCATTCGGCCTGCGAGGGAAACGCGGATCTCCTCCCACGCCGATTGGAGACGTTGCTCTTTCTTTATTAAATTCAGCAAGGGGAAGGGGGAGACAGCCTGATCTGGGTTTTACTTATAAGTTTTTTGTAGTTGTTTACTTATAAGTTTTTTGTGGTTTGTTAAATGCAACCGGGGCTCCTCCTCCTCCTTCCTTCTCGGCCTGCGGGGTTTTGTCGCTCACCCACCCACCTACCCACGGACTCTTCCCCCCTCCCACTTAGAGGAAAAAGTCTGCAGAGGAAGGTGGGGAGAAAGACGCGGGCGGGGGGCGGGAGATCCACTCCCCGCGAAAGTAATTACTCTGGAAGCGCTGGAAGTTGCGCGCGGCGTCTCGCAAGGCGAAGGCCACGGGGGAGCGGGGCGGTGTGTGGTTTGTGTATATTTGTGTGTGTCTGTGTGTGGGGTTTACAGGGAGGCCTGATACCCCCGCAAAGGTCACCCGAGCCAGCCAGCTCGAAGCGCCCCTGCTCAGAAACCTGCCCTAAAAACCCAGGCGCGCTTGCTTGGTGATCTAATTCTTTTCACGTGTGTCAGCCAGACAAGAGCAAAACACGCGCGGGAGGTCATTCATTTTCTCTCGCCCGGCCTCGAAGGGCAGACGCCGAGGGGCCCCACATAGGAAGCGATTCTAGCGGGGCCCAGGCGGCCTGGACCAGGCAGACCCGGCCGTGAGAAGAACGGGACAAATCGGGGAAGCCGGGAGTCCCCAACGCCTGGCTCCTTCGCAGAGGAGCGGTTGAGAAAGCTCCGCGGAGCCCGGGAAGGCCGTGGGAAGCCCCCCCGTCCGGATCAAAGGCCGCCGGGGGGTTCCCTCGCCCCTCCGGATTTGCAAAATGTTGATTTGAAGCCCCCTCCCCCCCCCGTGTTTCCTCGCGCTCTTGGGAGGAGGGGGCGTCTCTACCTCCCCCCCCCCACTTCGCACCCCATGACCGATGCCCGCGCACCGTGCGAGTCTTTAAAACACAAACACAGCGAGGCAACGCCCACTCGCCCGGGGCCCGCTTCCTTTTTGCCCCCCCCCCGTGTTTGCGTGCCCGTGCGCGCGCGACCGCCGGCGCGCGTGTCGGTGTTGTGTGGAGGCGCCAAGGAGGCGCAAACCGCGTCCACCCTCAGTGCTGCTCTCCTCTCTCGCACCAGCTGCCCCCACCCGTCCCCGCGAAGCTACTTTCTCGGTTGCCGACCGGCCAGGAGACGGAGGGGCGGGGCGGGGTACCCCCAAAAGTTGGCGCGCGTGTAAAAACCGACCGAGATCCGCTAGTTACGCCCGGAAAGCAGCGGAATCCCGGCGTTTGTTTTTTTGCGAGGAGGGGATGGAGGTCTGTGAATTGGAGGAGATTAAAGCTTTATTATCCCCCCCCCCTTTTTCTCCCCTTGTCTCTGGTCTTGCGCTCTTTCTCCACTCCCCCCCCCCCATCCCCTTCTGACCGGTTCCCTAAAATAAAGATGATGAGGGGACGAGAAGGCGAGGGGGGTTAGTTAGAGGCGGCTGGCTGTATTTTACACCCCCAAGTCAGCGGCGTCTTTCTCGCCCGATCAAACGCGCAAGTTTCCTGGCGGGGAGAGCGGTGAATTTTCCTAGGAGCGTTTTCAAAGCAGTGAAGGGCGGGGGGGGGACACATTCCCTAACCGGGCAGAGCAACCCCGCCAAAATCTCATTTGCCTCATTCTCCCACCCCCCAATTCTCCCCATCTTCCTCCTCCCGATTTTCCAGGCTCGCTTTCCCTTAATTTCCCCCTTTCCTTTCCTTTCCTTTTTTTGGAAAGGTTTTGCAAAAGCGCCCTTAAACCGAGGCAAAGGCGGCTGTGAGAAGCTTCGCGGCCGGACGAGGCGAAGCAGGACGGCGGAAGGCAACGGGGCTCCTCGCCGCCGAGATCCCAAGGCGAGCGGGAAGCGCCGGGGCGCTCTCCCTCGCTCTCTTTCTCCCCGCCAGGATTTCTCGCTCGGGCCGGGCAAGCAGACCGTTCGCCCGAGGAAATGCTCTGGGGGTCTCCAGTGCCCGAGGACCAGCCCCCAAACCACAACGGTCACCTCTCTCCGGGGGTCGGGAAAAGGATAAAAGCTCCCCCCACCCCCCCCCCGAGAAAAGAGCAAAACGGCTTCACGAACCGAGCTTTAAGCAGCGTCTCCTTTGAAAGGGGATATTTGAGGCGGGGGTCCTTGGTGCTCTTGAGCTTGAAAAGAACCCAACTCAAAGCACCAAGGACCCCCTCGCGTCCCCCTTTCGGTGGAAACCCGCGCGTCTCTACACGAGCTCCACGCATCGGCCTTCGCCGAGGGCTCTTCGCGTGGCGACAGGGCGAGTCCACGCAGGGACTCTCCCCCCCCCCCACGTCCCGTCCCTCCCCCTCCCCGAGGATCGTAAAGAGAGAAGCCGGACTTCCCCCAATCGGCCCCCGGGAACCCAAAGCGGTTCGGGAGGACAGAGGCCACGATCCGGTAGTTCAGAGACTTTCCACGCCGGTAAGATCTCCCCCGTGGGATCATCCGCCTCCTTCTGTCGGGGAAGGAGCCCCCTTTTCCTCCCCCGCTTTCTGGGGCGTCCGGATTCGGCTTCTCCGAGGGGGCAAAAAAAGTCACCAGACCAGCAAAAAATCAAGAGGGGGAAAATCGCGAATAATCAGAATTAACGACGGCAATTTAATCGCGTCGGAGCAGCCGGCGAGGAGGAGGGGGCGAGCGGGTGGGTGGCGTCCAGGCGAAAGGCGAGGAAGCGGCGGGGCTTCGGACTGGCTCAGAGCCTGCAAAGACCCCTACTCTGATTGGGGATGGGGGGGCGAAGGGGGAGGATGCGCGAGCACCTCCCCTCCCCCCTTTCTCTCTCTCCCCCCCCCCTCGGTCGCATCTCCAGTAAACAAAACGCTGCGGGGGGGGGGAACCCGGCTGGGCCAGCAGCCTTTCACCTCACCTGCGCCCCACGGAGAGGGCGCCCCGTCCAATCACGAGGCGGGCTTGGCCGCCAGCTGCCATTTTCAATACGGGGCGCTTGTCCGTCCTGGCGAGCGGGCCAATGGGCATCCCGGGTGGAGGGTCAGGTGACAACCGGCTGCCTGGCACCCCATTGGCTGGCCCAGACGCAGCCCCCCCCTCCGAAGTTGGGTCTCCCTCTCTCCTCCTCCGCCCCCCCCTCCGCCCCCTCCCCACCCGCTCTTCGTTCCTCGGCGCCCCCTCCCTCGGCTGCTTCCCTCTGGGTTAGCCCGGGAGAAGCGCCCGAACCCAGCCAGTGCCAGGACGTCGCTCCGCCAAAGCGGAGGGCGCCCTACGGATCAGGCAGGCGGCGGGGATCCCCACCTCGGGGGCAGCGCGGGGGGCGACCCCCTATTTTTTTTTCCTCCTGGCCCGCGCGGCCGGGGGGCATCGCCGTCCTTGGTCCTCTGGCGACGGGTGGGTGGGGTTTTTTTCTCCCCCCTCCCCGCTCTCTTTTCTTCTTCTTCTTTTTCTTCTTCTTCTGCTTCTTCTGCCACGGTTCGGCGAGGTTGGGCGCGCGTGTGAATGCGGCCGTGGCGGAGCCGCCGCGCCAGCCCTCCTGCCTGCCCGGCTATTGTGTGGGGCTGATCTCCAGGCGGCGGGTGGTGGGGGTAGCGGAGGGGAAGGACGCCGAGGGGGGCAGCCGAGGCCGGAGGAGGCGAGAAGGGGGCTCGGAGCGGCCCCGCGTTGCCGGAGGGGAGGGGGCGCCCCTCCGGCGTCCACGGAAGGAAGAGGCGAGAGAGAGGAACGCTGCCGTGGATCGACGCCGCCGCCTCTGCCTCGGACGATGGCCATGCTGCTGGACGGCGGGCCCCAGTTCCCCACCTTAGGGGTCGGGGGCTTCGCGTCCTCTCGCCCCCACCCGCACGACGTGGCCATGGGGCTCAACCACCCTCCTTTCGCCGAGCCTTCCTTTAAACTCAGCCCGGCCGCCCACGAGCTGGCTTCGGGTCAGGGATCCGCGTTTACGCCGCAGGCTTCGGGCTTCGCCCACCATCACCACCACCCGACCCATCATCCGCACCCGCATCATCCCCACCACCACCACCATCCTCCGCCGCCCCCGCCGCCCCCTCACCCTCACGCCGCCGGCGCCCAGGTGCCTTCTCCTTACGTGGCCGCCTTCAATTCCACGCGGGACTTTCTCTTCCGGAACCGCGGGGGCTGCGCCCTGGCCGAAGCGCCTTCGAGCGGCGGAGGAGGAAGCGGCGGCGGAGGGCCGGGCGGGACTCCCGGCGGCTCCCCGGCTCAGCACGGCCTTTTCGGCAGCAACGCGCCGGCCGGGCTCCACGCGCCGGGCGGCTTGGCGGACAGCGCGGGGGGTTACTTGCTTTTCCCCGGCTTGCACGAGCAGAACGGGCTGCCTTCGCCGTCGGGCCCCGTGGAGGGAGGCCAGCTGCACCTGGGTCTGCGCGGAGAGTTTTTCGGCCGGCCGGATTCCTACCGGGGGGTCTCCAGCCCCAGAGCGGACGCTTATGGAGCCGCGCCGCCCTTCCCCAACTACGGGCCCGTGAACGTGGCGGGAATGAACGTGGCGGCGGCCCATCACCACCACCATCACCACCACCACCACGCGGGACCCGGCGCTTTCTTCCGCTACATGCGGCAACCGGTGAAGCAAGAACTGGCTTGCAAGTGGTTGGAAGAGTCTTCGCCGCCGCCTCCGCCGCCTCCGGGCCGCTCCAAGAAGTGTTGCGACCGGCAATTCAGCACCATGCACGAACTGGTGACCCACGTCACGCTGGAACACGTCGGGGGTCCCGAGCAGAACAGCCACGTGTGCTTCTGGGACGAGTGCCCCCGCCAAGGCAAATCCTTCAAGGCCAAATACAAACTGGTCAACCACATCCGCGTTCACACGGGCGAGAAACCGTTTCCCTGCCCTTTCCCCGGATGCGGGAAGATTTTCGCCCGGTCCGAGAACCTCAAGATCCATAAAAGGACCCACACAGGTAAGAGAGAGAGGGGGGGGGGAGAGAGACAGAGAGAGACAGAAAGACAGAGAGAGGAGAGGAGACACACACACAGAGAGAGATAGAGAGAGAGAAGGAGAGAGAGAGAGGAGAGGAGAGAGAGGAGAGAAGGAGAGAGGGAGAGACAGAGAGAGAGAAAGAGAGAGAGAGGAAGAGAGAGGAAGAGACAGAGAGACAGAGAGAGAGAGAAGGAGAGAGGAAGAGACAGAGAGAGAGACAGAGAGAGAGAGACAGAGAGAGAGACAGAGAGAGAGAGGAAGAGGAGAGAGACACAGAGAGAGAGAGACAGAAAGACAGAGAGAGGAGAGGAGACACACACAGAGAGAGATAGAGAGAGAGAAGGAGAGAGAGAGAGGAGAGGAGAGAGAGGAGAGAAGGAGAGAGGGAGAGACAGAGAGAGAGAAAGAGAGAGAGAGGAAGAGAGAGGAAGAGACAGAGAGACAGAGAGAGAGAGAAGGAGAGAGGAAGAGACAGAGAGAGAGACAGAGAGAGAGAGACAGAGAGAGAGACAGAGAGAGAGAAGAAGAGGAGAGAGACACAGAGAGAGAGAGACAGAAAGACAGAGAGAGGAGAGGAGACACACACAGAGAGAGATAGAGAGAGAGAAGGAGAGAGAGAGAGAGAGAGAGAAGGGGATATCCCACCCACCCCCACCCCCGTTCCGTCCGACGGACTCCCTTGAGCTTCTCCACCTGTTGAAACTGGTTTTACGCTCCATCTCGGGTTTAGGTTCGCTTTCGGATGACCGAAACAATATAAAAACCAGGCCCGGGTTCGTTTGGAGTTTCGCGGTGTGGGGGGGATGATAAAAGGGAGTGTGT